TCTTCCTCAAAAAAAAAAAAAAAAAAGGAGTACATTGTATGTGATTCAATTTTTATGAAACTCTAGAAAAGGCAAATCTAATCCATGGTGACAGAAAGCATATTGATAGGGCCGGCCCTGTGGCTTAGCGGTTAAGTGCGTGCTCTCTGATGCTGGCGGCCCGGGTTCGGATCCTGGGCGCACACCGACGCACCACTTCTCCGGCCACGCTGAGGCCGCGTCCCACATACGGCAACTAGAAGGCTGTGCAACTATGACATACAACTATCTACTGGGGCTTTGGGGGGAAAACAAATAAACAAATCTTTAAAAAAAAAAAAAAAGCATATTGATGGTTTCCTGGGGCCAGAGATGGGAAGAGGCACAGAGATATTGTTAGTGTGATGGAAATATTCCATATCAGGTTACAGAGGTGTAGACATCTGTCAAAATGCATTGACATGCACTTAAAATGGATACTTATTATATGTAAATTACACCTCAGTAAAAGTGATTTAAAAATTAAATGTGGATTAAAAAGGGAGAGTTAATTTAGTATGTAACGGCTATATGTTCTAACAATATAGATATAGTACAATCTTTTACAAAAGTAGGGAAGATTGGGGAGAACATACGAAAAAAATTTTCAAAGTGCTTTTTTGCAGTAATCCTATTGATTAGTAGTATTAGTACTGTTATTCTGAAGCTGTTGGGAGTATAATGTGGGATAAAGCAAATGAGACACATGCGGTATTTTTTCTTTCAATATATATTTCTTAGCTCCATCTACTGAAATATTCTCAGAAACAATGACCAACCCAGGAGCAATGGGCATCCCCAGCGACCAGACTGTGGTCTTGAAATATCATTTTCCACTAAAAGAAACAAGGGCTGATTGGAAAATGGCTGATTCCAGGGCTAGAACAACAAATGTACAAAACGAGCCTCAAAGACTACTAGAGTGACTCAAAAGCCAGTATGAAGAGCATGTCACTGGCCAAAGCTGGTATTATTTGAACTTCAAAAAGGGTAATTGTAGTGGACTAAAACCCATCAAATATGTTTAATTCCATGATTTAATGGGACGGTGCCACAGCATGGCTTGACAAGCGGTGCATTGGTCTGCGCCTGGGATCCGAACCTGCAAACCCCAGGCCGCTGAAGAGGAGCACGTGAACTTAACTGCTATGCCACCGGGCTGGCCCCAATAACAATATTTTAAAAAAAGAAAACACTTAGTGGGGCCGGCCCAGTAGTGCAGTGGTTAAGTTCGGCACGCTCCACTTTGGCGGCCTGGGGTTAGCAGGTTCGGATCCTGGGCACAGACCTACACTACTTGTCAGCCATGTTGCGGTGGTGACCCACGTATAAAATAGAGGAAGACTGGCTCAGATGTTAGCTCAGGGCTAATCTTCCTCAAGCAAAAAAGGAGGAAGATTGGCAACAGATGTTAGCTCAGGGTGAATCTTCCTCAGCAAAAAAAAAATAAATAAATAAAAAAGAAAAGAAAACACTGATCACCCATTGGAGAATAAAAAGGAACCAGATAATTTTTTCAAAACTGATATATAAAGGGAAAGCATCTAGCATTTTTTCTGCTACATGAACTGGGAAACCAAATATAAGATGAGGGAAAATATATCAATAAAATATTCCCAGCTAATAAATAAAAATAAATGATGCAATTACAATCTTACAATTATGCAAACTCCAGTGAATGAATGGATCTAGGCACTGAGCATCAACAGCTGCCAACAATCACAAAAACGAAACAACCAGACATTATGTGCCACACGACTAAAGAATACACCACCATCTATGTGTTCAATTCCTTTGGCAAGACTAATTCTAATTTTATTTATTTATTTATTTTTTTCCCCAAAGCCCCAGTAGATAGTCGTATGTCATAGCTGCACATCCTTCTAGTTGCTGTTGGCAAGACTAATTCTAATCAAGCTTCTGGTCTTCACTGACAATTTGTAAGAAACACAGAGAAAAGAGGAACATGACTACCATCATGAATATGCAATCCTTAAAATCTAGACTGTGGGAACCTCTACAGGTCAAATGACCCAGGTTCTTGAAGAGACAAAGTTTAAGGAAAAGAAAGGGAGGAAGGGGGAATTTATAGATTAAAAGAGACAGTTTTATCAAATAAAAGAAAAAACTTCCAACATATATAACCCATACAATTTCTGTATTTAGAATATACAAAGAACTTCCACATAATAATAGAAAGATGGAAAATCCAGTAGAATAAAGGGCAAAACTTGAACAGTCAATTCACAAGAAATGACAAATAAGTATATGAAAAGGTGCACAGTGTTATTATATATATATATAGCACCATATCCTCTAGATTGGCTAAAACTAAAATGGCTCTATCAACTGTTGATGTGGAGTCACGAAACTCTCAAACACTGCTGGTTGGAATGCAAAATGGTATAATCACTTTGGAAAACAGTTTGACATTGTCTACTAAAGTTGAACATACGCATACCCAATAATTCCATTCCTAGGTATACACCCAGTAGAATGTGTGCGTATGTGCACCAAAAGACATGTAGGAGAATTTTCATAGGAGCATTGCTTGGAATAGTCCCAAACTGGAAACAACCCAAATTTTGATCAACAGAATAAATTGTAGTTTATTCATATAATGTAATAATGTGAGGAAATGAAAATGAATGAACTACAACCACACACACACATACATACAAATCTCACAAACATAATATTGAGTGAAAGAGGGAAGAATTTTGTTCACATAAAAGAACAAAGTAATTTTGTTCACATAAAATTCAAAAGCAGGCAAAAGAGAGTCAAAGAACTACCAGAAAAAAAGGCATGGAAAGTGACAATACCAAACTTGCGACAGTATTATTTCCTCAAGGAGAGCGAATGTTATTATAAGGAGAGATACACAGGGGGCTTCTGGGTTACCAGTAATGTTTTATTCCTTGACTTGGAAGAGAGTTACATAGGTGTTCACTACATAATTATTTGTTAAGCTGTATATATTTCTTCTATATACTTTTCCATAGGTACATTTCATAATATAAAATTAAAGTTTTAAAACAGTAGAAAAAAAAATTAGAAAAATATAGTGGTGAATCTTTGGGGTAGAGACCTAAAATGCAAATTAGAGAAAATGTGCTGCCAAGTCAATCTGGCTAAAAAACAAGACTTAATGCTGATTATTAGCTACCAAATAATGTACTTTGTTAATAAACTTTTTAATATTCACTTAACAAATAATTACACTGAGCACTTGAGCACTTAACTGTGTGCCAGGCATTGTTCTAGTCATTGGGAACACAGCGGTGCACAAAACAGTACTTACATACAGGTGTTGTGGAGAAAGACAATAAAAATAAAACATGGTAAAGGGAACACTGAGGGTGAGGCTATTTTTCATAGGGGAATTAGGGGCATCCTCATTGATACCTGGCATCTGAACAGAGATACTTAAAGGAATCAAGGAACTAATCCATGTAGATATCTGGAGAACAGGTTGCCAGAGGATGGAACAGTCAAAGGCCTTAAGGCAGGATCATGCTTGGAGTATTCAAGAAACACAGAGAGGCCAGTAGGCTGAGTGGAACTGAGAGGGAAAGAGGTAGAAGATGAAGCAGGCTGAGGAGGGTGGTGGGGGGCACGATCATGTAGGGCATTGTAGAACCTTGCAAAGACTTTCTCTTCCTGAGTGAGATGAGAAGCCACTTTAAACCAGTGAAATGAGGGGATGTGGTTTATGTTTTAAAACCATCATTCTAGGGGCTGGCCCAGTGGTGTAGCGGTTAAGTTTGTGCACTTGGCTTCAGTGGCCTGGGGTTTGCAGGTTCGGATCCCGGGCACGGACCGATGCACCACCTGTCAAGCCATGCTGTGGTGGCGTCCCATATAAAGTAGAGGAAGAAAGGCATGGATGTTAGCCCAGGGCCAATCTTCCTCAGCAAAATGAGGAGGATTAGCAACAGATGTTAGCTCAGAGCTAATTTCCCTCACAAAAAGCAAACAGAAAAAACCCATCATTCTGGTTCTTTCAAAGGCACTATTAAAATGGAAACAGCTACAGTTAGTTCATCTTCCACATAGAAAAATATGACACTCTGTTTTAGTATATCATATTTAGGTTCAGAGAAAAAAAATGGAATTTTTCCTTTTATTTAGAAGAATCATTCTTCTAGTTCACATTAACCACAAAATTTCACCTTAAAAAAATTCTTTTAAAGGTAAAATTAATACCCTCTGCTGTCCCCCAATTTACAGTGACTAGTTTGCTTTTCTTCTATTTGTGGTAAAATACACATAAAACTTACCATCTTAACCATTTTTAAGTGTAGAGTTCAATAGTGTTAAATGCATCACATTGTTGTATATAGTGACCAGTTTTAAAGGCTTGAAAAAAATTCAGACTGGTGTCAATGTTTGTAGATGAACTCTACTACAATAAAATACATTAGTAGCTACTATTTAAGTATGTACTCTAAATTTCTCCTGGGCCCACTGAATGATGGTAGAGTACAAAGGAGAGTGATTTACATGCTTTGTTAATAAACTTACATGCTGAATTTAAGTATCAAAAAATAAACTCACAGTTGAAATTCACCATTTGGTGGCTGGTTACCATGAAGATAACGAATACAAATTTATGTGACTAAGTTCTAAAGGACATTCACATTTTTAAGGACCAAGACTACTCCTTAAACATCCATTCTTTCACAAAGAAAATCAGCGCATCAGATCGAACCATCCATGTGAGTAGAATATAACTCAAATACAGTAGTTGGATCATTAAAAGAAAAAAAAACCAAATATGAATATACTATAATACATGATTTTTGAGGTGTATTCCTATTATTTAAACACATGTAATTAGAAGACCTACAATTGGTCTCTATAAACTGATAATATTAATATTTCCATATGCTTTTGACAGAATCATCATACATTTTAAAATGTTGCTATTGCCTATTCACTTGGCAGTTTAAGTAAATGTGATTTTTTTTTTTTTTTACCTCTGTGAAGAGACGAGCATCATCAGAAAGCATATTATAATCCTGTGCACATTTCTTTGCAGAATTCTGCAAAAACTTCAGGAATTCAGTAACTTCTTCGTTCACATGTTTTTTCATATCCTGATTTTTAAAAAAGGAGATGTCTTGGGATAAGAAGCTTGGTTAAAAACAATCACTTCTCAATAATTGCGCTAATAATTTGGACTGAAAGAATACTTAAACTATCAGGTCCAAAGCAGAAATCACAAAGAAAAAATTAAAATTATTATATAATGACAAACTTGTTATTAAAAACTCCACAAAAATAGAAAAGCAAATGACTAACACTATACTATATGCTTAGGAATTAATAAGCTTATTTTATAAAATGCTCTTAATTAACATAAAAAAAGAACAAATATCCAAAGGGAAAAATGAGTAAACAATATGAATATGCAAGTTACAAAAGAAGAAAGAGAAATAGCTTATAAAAGGGACAGCCTGGTGGTGCAGCGGTTAAGTGTGCGTGCTCTGCTTCAGTGGCCTGGGGTTCACAAGTTCGGATCCCGGGCACGCCCCGACACACCACTTGTCAAGCCATACTGTGGCGGCGTCCCATATAAAGTAGAGGAAGATGGGCACAGATGTTAGCCCAGGGCCAATCTTCCTCAGCTAAAAAAAAAAGGAGTATTGGCATCGGATGTTAGCTCAGGGCTGGTCTTCCACACACAAAAAAAAGTTCTTAAAAAGAAAAAATAGCTTATAAACACGTGGAAAATGCTTATTTTCATTAGTAATTACTATACATTAATGTAAAACAAGGGATCCCTATTTTTTCCACATCAAATTAGAGGCAAAAAAAGTAATGTCCAGTATTAGTGAAGATATTAAAAAAAAAAAAAAACCTTTCATACAATAGTGGTACAAATAAATTGGTTTAAATGTTGTACAGAACAATTTACCCACAAGTCACTGCAGATCAAAGCCTTAAAAATACGTATAGATTTTGGTACGGCAAATAAAGTTTTAAGAATTTATCTCAAAGAAACAATCGTAAATATGAACAAGGATGTTCAACATAGCATCATTTATACAATTGGAAACTACTTAAAGTAATAATTAAACAAAAATTTAAAACTGGCTCAATGAGCAATGTAAAGTTCTATTGCTGTGTACTTAAGATGAACTGGAGTGAAATATGCTCAGAACTAGAGCAAAATGTCTGAACTATAATAGAACCAACAAAAGAATTAAAGCACCAATGCTCTGTAAATTAAACTCCTTAAATTTTCCCTTTTTGTTAATATGATTGCACCTAAAAACGTAAAAGCAAATTTAAAATATTTCCCGACTAACTTAAATATTTTTACTGAAGCTGAAGAATAGAATACATACCAAGTACTGCAAGTAGTCATTTTTATTTATTCCAATAGCTTTGGAATTTGCAGGAACTTTTGCATATTTAACCAACAAATCCACATAACTCCTCTGCTCTCTCTGTGAGAAACGAGAGAAACGAGGATAAGGAACTCTTGGTTTTGGAAGAAGAACCATTCCAACTGTGGTTTTAACTTTTTCCTTTGCTTGAGTTGCTGAACTAACTGCCAGCTCATTTTCTACAGAACTTGCTGAGGCATTCAAATTTTCTCCTATACGTCTGGGAAAAAAGAAAAAAAAAAAAACAATTTACAAATATGTGCTTTCACATGAAGATTACTATCATGGAACTTCATGATTCTCAATCACCAGGGAGAATATAGCGTGATTAACACAGTAAATTCTGGATTATTATCTAACTCTGCCACCTGCATTTTGATGTTTAGCTATTTGGTATAAATTAAGTCTTCTGCAGGATAAGATCACATTACAAGCTTACCTTCAATTATCTGATGGAGAGGAAGAGGCATAATCCTTAGACAAGTTATTCAATTTGGAAGTTTTTTCCCTTTATTGAAGAAGGGTAAATCACTCTTGCCAATTATATATGCAGGTACTTCGTGTTTACATTTTATTACAACACAAGTTGTTCTTTAATGCTTAAATTCTTCAGTAAGATATATCAGTTAATCTGGTGAACAAGAGTCACTAAGAGCAGGATATGATGGGATCACAAACTTGAAGTTCACAAATTCCCTGAGATTCTAAATTTTCTAGTTTCCTCTGCTTTAACTATCTTAAGAATGAAAAAGAAAATTCCAAAACTGTGCGCCATATTTTATAGAAGCAGTAGTGGTTTTAGAAAAGATGTACAATCCTCTATCACTCATGTACATGGCTAAGTCCATGGAAGTGTCTTCACGTTTTGTATGGATACAAAAGAGAAATCTTGGCACATCTAAAATGAAAGGCACTAGAGAAAGCAGTGAGTAGCTAGAGAACTGTTACCATATTTGTTTACGAACTGCTATCCCCAATTTTTTAAAAATCACCTTACCACCCCAATTAAAGTATAAGAATACACATTTCTCATCTTGTTCATAATCTGTCTCTATTCCTGCTTTTCAGTTGTTGTAATCTACATTTTTAATGAGTGTTTTAAAGTACACACACACACAAAAGTACATTTCCTTAGCCTCTACAACTCCAATTTCTACCACAGTAATTGTCCCCTATGATTTGATTCCAAATTAAACAACAATAACATAAGAGGAAGGGAAACTAATGGAAGGATAGAGGTCGGTTGATTCATTCTTCATTCCTCCATTCATTAACATTGACTGAGTGACTACCATGTGCCAGCCTTATGCTGGGTACTGGAGATAAGACCAACATTGAGCACGATACAGTCTCTATCCTCTAGGACCTTATAAACAAGTGGATCAGACAAATGAATGGGGAAGAAAGAAAAGTAAATATGTACATCAATACAATGTGACTATAGAAATCTCAGGTTTCCAAACTGAACATACTGAATAGGTGACTGAGAGGAATCCTAAGGACATCGAGATTAGGGATTAAGAGGGAGAAGGGGAGGGGCAAGAAATATCCAGAGCAGAGGTTCTCAATCATGACAGTATTAATTCCCTCAGGGCATTCTGGAAGCCTGTGGGTGCATCTGGGTTGTCACAGAAGAGGGGGAGAATTAAAGGCATTTAGAGGTAAGGAATACTAGATGCCTGTAATGTATGATGGTGTCCTGCACAACTTTCAAAGGTGACTTCAGGCTTTCTCCTATCACATACAAATAAGCCTGGTCTGTTACTACTTATCCTCAAAATATATTTTATTCTTTTATTTTTCTTATGATTTTTGTATGGTATAGTTTATCTTACTTCTCTTAAATCCAACCTTAATCATTTTAGCTGGGGCATCTGACTACTTCATTGTATCTTCTAATGTAGTAGTATCTATGTATTTACATAGTAAAATACATATTATAATATAAATTATTTTCCTTTTATTTCATATTTATATATCTAGGACATTATTTAAAATATTTTTTCTCTGGCTATTATTATCTATGAATTTCAATTCAGGATAGTAAAGAAGGTGTCTTATTTTTTTATAAATATGTATTATGAAAAGTGGGAGGGTTTTGGCCTGATAAGGTTGAGAATTACCAATCCAGATATATGTCTGGACAAAGGGTGAGTTAAGCCCCATCCAAAACTACCACTGATTTGTTTTAAAGCAACTTTATGACAGTAGAATAAATATAGTAAAAATTCCAAAAGACTTAGGGCCTCCAAATAAAGCAGAATATTCAAGACCACTCCTGTAGAGCTAAACTACGGATGGAAAACTAATCAAAATAGCTGGTTAGCGAATGGGAAAAGAATTTTGGAAATTAAAATAAGGATGTTTAGACTGGCTCTGAAAATAATACAGGTAAAAGAAGACATACTTAGCTACTAAAGTTTCTCCAATAACTGTATAAAAAAAAAGCGTATTTTAGGTTAACAAAATGAATATTAACTGCTGATCTTGGGAGAAATGTATTACAGCAAATTGATTTCTCACTAAAAAATGTCTATTCAAACCTAACAGCATTGTGTCCACAACTCTTAACAATACCGCTTCACAGCTGTCTCTCTGAATATGAGAACATGTCTGTCCTCATGGCACAAACTGGCAAATTTAATTAAGCTGCTGCAGCAACAAGATGCTGACTCAGATATGCCAGAGTAGGAATGTCAAGAAATTCTAGCAGTTTAAATTGGCTACATTCAGCAAAGAATAAAACGGCAGCACATCAAGATCATTTCCATGTACAGTGCTGTCAAAATCTTCATCAGGGTGCAAGCCAAAAGCATCTGACAGAGCTTCTCAATCCACCTTTACAGCATTATATTTTTTTTCAGTTGATGATTTGAAGTTTTCCTCCTTCATTTTGTCAACTACCTATTCTCCTTTTTTACCTAAAGTTTCCATGGAAAAAAGGCAGAATTCAAAACTTTTAGTTTCCTGTGCTTTAAGTCTACTGGTTTGGGTGGCTTCTTTAAGTAGCATTTGGAAATGGTGCTTCCAGCCTCCATCTAAAGTCTACTTGTACCTCCTGAATTTGATTTACTTTTCTATATTAGACATGTTAAAATTTCATAATCTTTTTTTTTGTATTTGAAGCTACTTTATTCCTTGTTGGCTTAAAACTCAGTTATAAATATCTACAACCAGAAACTGTAATTTAAAAAAAGGCAAATATTTACCTTTCAGTGGAGGGAGAAGCGTTAAATAAAAACCTCTTATTGTTGAAAGTTGCATAATTAGAGATATCAAGATTTTCCCAAATATTGGGAAAAAATGTTAGAGAACACAAAAAATACAAAATTAGGGCCAATAAAAATGTTACATTCTTCTTAGTTTTTCCACCAAGAAAACAGTTGTAAATTAATATAGTCTGGAAATTCATTCTTTACTATAATAAAATTTAGTAAAACTTAAGGTTAGCAAAAAAGACTAGAAATAAATGAAATTGATGCCTTGTATCTTTATTTTTTCTATACTAAAAGGTAAATTATACTAATAAATTAGTTTTTGCTATATAGAAATCTAAAGAAAAACAAGCATACGCTAAGAAAAAAAGACTTTATGAGTTAGGTGTACCCAACTGCTGGCAAGATGTCCTCTCTCTCACATAATCTAGACTATAACCGACACCTGGTATATGTTGAATAGAACTGCACTTGAAAAGAACCACTAAAATAATTAAGAAGCAGTGACAGGATGAAGAATATTAATATTATAAATTTTTAGTCTAAAAAGATGAAGGTGAGATAAAAGTTCATGAAATAGTGAAGAATTTTTTTTTAAAAGAGGTAAAGATATATGTTCACTAAATCCCAGGACACTAGAATTGATAGGCACTCTGATTCACATAAACAAAGACAATTCTTACTTTATTTAACTGAGAAGTTTTAAGAAATCAGTTATCCCCAAGAAATGGTATAAAGCTGGGTAACAGAAATAGCTTTTAAAAAATATCCACAGATGCACAGTCATAAAGGATCTAAGGTCTTAACCTTAGCAAAGACATTATAATTATGTACTTTGGCAAGAAGAATGCTGCTTCTGAAATGGCCTCTTTAAAACATTTATTTTTGAAACGGTCTCTTTAACACAACTTCTGCTTGCCTTTATGTGAACTTATCTATTCATCTGATGGAATCAAAAAAGCACTTGTTTAATGTTTTTAATGGCAATCTGGCAATATCTATCAAAATAAAAAACACATAATACCCTCCTCTTTTTTTTTTTATAATTTTATTTAGTTATTTATTTTTCCACCAAAGCCCCAGTATATAGTTGTATGTCATAGCTGCACATCCTTCTAGTTGCTGTATGTGGGATGCGGCCTCAGCATGGCCAGAGAAGCGGTGCGTCGGTGCGCGCCCGGGATCCGAACCCAGGCTGCCAACAGTGGAGCGCGCGCACTTAACCGCTAAGCCACAGGGCTGGCCCAATACCCTCCTCTTATAGGAATTTATCCTACTTAATACCAGCACATGTATAAAAAGAATGCTCCTTGTAATAGTAAAGGAATGGAAACAGCCTAAATGAATATCAATGGGGTCAATTAACTGATTCCATAAACATATCCTCAAAGGTTTAGATTCAAAAGGTTTACATTCATTTATGAAAGTGCAAAATCAGTATTTTTTAAAAGCTCCAGAGTCTGACGAGCCGGTATGGTAAGCCTGAAAATGAAGATGGCAAAAGAGTTGAGAAATACCCAGTCACTGGAAAACTATGAGAGTGAGATATCTCCATTGAGAGGAGCTCATTGATGATCTTGAGAGGAGCAGTTTTAGTAGACTACAGAGGGTGGAAGCCAGATTAGAGTGGGATGTTCGGTGAAAGCAAGAGCAGGGGGATGTGCAGTGAGGGAAGTCTTTTTTTAATCCTGTTTTTTAATCCATTCTCTCAATCAGTCTTTTGATTGGAGAGTTTAATCCATTCACAGTAATTATTGATAGGGAAGGACTTATTATTGCCATTTTGTTAATCATTTTCTGTATGTCTTACAGCTTTTTTGTTTCTCATTTCCTCCCAGCAAGTATATACAAGTCTTTAAAGAAGTTTAAGTACAAATGAGAGAAGAGGTAAGAAGGCAACCAGGAGGGAAAGTGGAGTCCAGGGATTGAGTCAGGAAAAACTTGAGCACATTTAAATATTGATCAAGAGAGAAAGTAGAGGGGTAAGAGGGGATGCTAATTGACAGAAAGGGTACTGAGAAGGAAAAGATGAGGTCCCATTTGATGCAGAGGCTGGAAACATGCAAAAGGAGTGAAGAAAGAATGAAAGTTAAATGTTGAGCTCCCCTAAGGGAGGTCCCCAATTCCTCATTTGGAATATTTACATTTCTTTCTAGTAAATCCGATTACTTGGTTTCAAGGTTCATCCACAATAGAGTAGAAACAGCCAATCACAAAGGAAAGAAGAGCTGTTATAGCAAGCAAGAGGTGAGAAGGGAAAATTATCACTAAATTTTTCATAGGAGAGAGGAAAAAAAAATCTCTGGCAATTTGGCAGTATCTGTTAAAATATAAAATGTATATACCATCTGACCAAACAATTCAATGTCTATGAATTTATCTTATAGAAATGACTACAAGAATTTCATCAATGTATTGTTTATAACTACAAAAAGAGAGGAAGACAACATTTTGTAATATAGGACTAGCTAAATGAATTAAAAGTACATCTATATAATGAAGCAATATGCAACCATTAAGAAGATTGAGCTATATGTAGGGGCATGGAAAGATACAGGAAATATTAGCTTAAATGAAAAAAAACCTGCAAAACAGTTTTACAGTAATTGCAGTATTTTATAGTATTTTTAGTATGATCTCATTTTTATTTTAATATATATCTGTTTATGTGTGGAGAAAGGTCTGAAGGTGGTCATCTTTGGGTACTGGGTTCTTTTTTTTTTTTTTTTTTGTGAGGAAGATCAGCCCTGAGCTAACATCCATGCTAATCCTCCTTTTTTTGCTGAGGAAGACCAGCTCTGAGCTAACATCTATTGCCAATTCCCCTCCTTTTTTCTTTTTCCCCCAAAGCCCCAGTAGATAGTTGTATGTTATAGTTGCACATCCTTCTAGTTGCTGGATGTGGGACGCGGCCTCAGCATGGCTGGAGAAGCGGTGCGTCGGCACGCCCAGGATGCGAGCCAGGGCTGCCAGTAGCGGAGCACGTGCACTTAACCGCTAAGCCACGGGGCCGGCCCCTGGGTTCTTCTATTTTCTAATTTTTACATTTCTATAATTTGAATGTTTAATAGCAGATAGAGACAGATATAAAACTTCAACTATCAGAAAAATAACAATCAAATATGGAAATAAATAATCAAATAAACATATTACCTGTTAGCTAAAATACATAGTTCTTTTAAACTTGGAGCCATGGAATGATCTTTATAATTTTCTCGAGAGAAAAACATCTTAAGGCCATTTTTTGGGGAAATATCCCTGTAAAACAAAGTAATTTACTTGCATTTGACAATTCAAAATCACATGCTAGATTAAGCAGCGTAATGATACAAATGTAATTTATAACTGCATGTCCTCTACATCCCCTTTCCCAGACAATCACCTTTTAATAATTTTAATTTCATGTACCAGATGCGTGAGTTCAGATGCTTTACTTCTTGGGTAGCTTTTAGCCTAGGCCCATTCTAAAATTCTCTGGTTCCAACAATCAGCCTTGCTTTTTCCTTTAGTACCCAATAAAATGTCAGAGATACTTGAGAGTTAAAGATAGAACAGACTGAAGTACAATCAAGGGTCTGTCAGGGGCAGGGCTCACCTCAGGCTCTGTGAAATAACATGAAGATGTTTGGTTGTTGAAAGAAAATGCTTCTCAACTTGTTTTTGTTTCATGCACTATCGCACCAGGCCAAAAGACACTACAAAGACTGAATGTCCTACCTATTTTTGTTAACTTGGCAAATGTTATAAATGGTGTGCCTCTGCTAAAACCACTTCTAAGGTCATGCATGATTTTCCATAACATCATAATCAATTTAAAGACTAACATATTATTGTCAACGCTTTCCATATAGCAAGCACCCAATAAATGCTGGTTGGGTGAAGGAATTAAACAATTTAAAACACTGAGAACCATTAATTTAGGGAAGACAAAGATTAATAGGATTCTGTGGAAAAGGATCGTTCAAGAGCTACAATACTGTGCAAAGGCTCTAGTTCACATTTGGTTTCACACTGTCAATGGTATATAAGAGCATCTGGGCTGCAACAGAACTTTCTTTATGGCAAGGAGCATAAATGTACATGCCTCCTAAAACTCACAATAGAACAATCCAATCAGAAGGCAACTTCTGGCTGGCCCATTCCCCAAATGGGAAATTCTAGCATATTTGCTCCATACTCCTTTCTTATTGTTTTTAAGAGTGTTTACCTAAAAAACTATGATTAAGGTATAAATGGTAAAATCACATCTTACTTGCTATGCACCAGAGTGGTTTCTTATTACTTGTTATGGTACTGTATCTGTGACATCTTATTAAATTCTAAGGTTTTTGCATATCATACAAAAGCAAAGTCATGGGCCTCGAGGATTGTGAGCTCCTTGGGGGAAAGGAGCATTGTTTGCAATAAACAAATACTTACTGAGCACATACTATTTGAATCTTGAGTCAGGTTTTTAATATTTTAATCATCTTTGTAATCTCTTGTAACTTTTGTTTTCTCCTTGACTAGCAAAGAGTAGATGCTCAGTAAATGTATGTTAAATTTATCTAAAGCAGCACATGTATTAGTTAGATCTCTAGAAAGCCACTTGATTGCTTAACCAAGTCCTCTATCTGTGAAGTTCTCATACACTTATAAAATATAGTCCATGCATTTATATTATCACTTGATACAGATTCCAATATAACAAAAGGAAATTTGTCCCTTCTTAAAGAGGGTCTTTCTATGACTTGTACAGAAATGGGTAAGGTTCCTGGACACAAGAAAATTCCAGCATCTGCCCTTCACTAAGAGATCAACAATAAACACATGATGAGTTATACCTAGTAGCAATGCACCCGCCGGATTGTTGTTGCTTTAGGAGAGGAAGTGCAGGCAGCCAGAACTCAAAAGTGCTCAGTATGTGAAGATGAGAATGGGGTCAATTCTGAGCCACCTGTTTCCTCCAAATTTCTCCAGGCCAGAAACCCTCCTTTCCTAATCTACGCACTAGCTCCACTTCAATCCTCTTTAGGGGATTACAGACAGATGTCACTCACCAGTTCAGCCTTGGTTCACCCATGGCCATGATGGAGCTCATATTCCTAGATTTCTGTTTCCCTCTAGCTCACAATTCTGCCGCCTGGCAGTGCAGGGTTCAACGTAGGCAGGATTTCTCCACAATCTACACTCAATTAAGGAAAACAAAAGGTCAAGATCAAAAGCAAGTGATTGGCTCGGCCAGGTGCTTTTAACGCAGGTGAGTAGGAACCTGTTCCTAACACCTACCCTCAAGTGACATGGACATCTAAAACAGAATACAGCAGACAGATGAATATTCCCAAGGTTCTTTGTAGCAGAACAGCAATGCTGATGTAGGATGAGTCCTTCTCCATTTACCTTACTCCAGGAATGTCATTCTCAGGACACTCACTGAGGAGAGTCGAAACAGAAGGGTGTTCTCACTGTTTACATACTAGATCACTTTATGGCATGGAGCTGTAGGACTTAACTCAGCTTCCCCCGACCCCCTCACCGGCAAAATCAATCTTGCTGCCGTTTTCCCAACCATACACGGTTATGGGGCAGATTCCAGCAAGCAACGCAGGACAAAAGCTGCCTGGATATCAAGAATCTTTCAGAGAACTTCACTTATGAGGAGACCGATGTCCAGGCAACTTAAGTGACACTTCACAGGATCACTTAGAGGAACTGCCAGGACTACAAAGCTAGCTTGACCAGTCCACGTCCAGTGCTTCTCCTGTCACCAGGGGCGGGCTGATAAAAGTGGCACGTGAAAAGCTACCAAATTGAGAAGTTGGTGCCTCGGTACCCAACGGGCCCGACCGGCTCCCCTTAACCCACCTCTCACACTTCGACCCAGTGTGGGGCTGGGAAGGGAGAGTCGATGAAGACAAAAGGAATGGCGAGGGAAAGGGGACGAAAAGAGAAACAAGGTTCCAGGAAGGCAGGGAAAGGGGTGAGCGAAGTCGGAGGACGGGGCCGCGTCGGAAGCAGGCGCGGAGGGTCCTGGCCAGGCCGAGGAGGCCGCCATGTTCCCTCCCTCCCGGCCGCCCGCAGGGCAGCGCCCTCCTTTCGCGTCTCGCCTGCAAAACAGCCTTTGCGCCCACCTCTTGGTCCGCGCGGCTCTGGCCAGGGCCGCGAGCCCCACTCCACACACATACACTCCACCCCACTCCTCACACTGCCGCGAGCCCTAGGAACGCCATATTTAAAGGACGTGGTCTCGCCGTCTCGGCCCTGCGTGATGACGTCACTAGCGACGCGGCGGACGGGCTGTGCGACTCCAAAGGGTCGCTCCAGGATCCGAGTATCCCGTGCACTCCGGCTGGAAACTGCGAGAGGGGGCTTGCCGGGGCTCGTCTGACGGAAGGGATTGGGGGCTGCTTGTTGTCCTAGAAAGCCCTTAGCCTTGCGGGGGTGATAAATTGGAAGGAGGACAGGGGACAAGTACAGTATTGGAAAGACCCAAACAGACTGGTCTGTGACCTTAGCCAAGTGACTTAACTTCCCTAACTCTGACACCTCATCAGGAAAATGGAGATATTATTAGCTCTTAGTAGGGTTTTTGAAAGGATTAAATGAAATAAGGGATGAAGCTGTGGTCAGCACAGTACCTGGCGCATAGTAGCGCCTCCACTCCGTCCCGTTTTAGATGTCAGTTTCCACCAGCGTCCACTCTGGCTCTCCACTGGTTTTATTCGCATTCGTTAAGGAAAGATTTATTGAGCACTTATAATTTGTGCTCGGTGCTGGGTACACATAGGACTAAGACCAAATACTGGTTTTTCAAAGAGCTTTTGATCATTGGGAATCTAAGACATTCACATTAAATAATTTATAAAACAAAATAGTGACAAGCTACATGCGAGAGGTATCTAGAAAAGATTGTGTGAGTTCAGAGAGGGAGAGAAATTACTAGTGAGAGGGACAGAAAGCAGCTTTCAATAGCTAAAGACGTCTGTTGAGTACTTCTATGTCAGTTACTACATTGGACTTGACATGTCAGCTCGTTTGGAGAACTTGTCGTATGTGGATGATGGGAAAGGGCATTCTAGACAGAGACCAGACAAGGAGCAGCATAAACCTATTTCGTGAACAGAGTCCAGTTTGTATGCTAGCAGGAAAGCATGTTCTAAATTTTAGAATGATTTATGATATGGTTTAAAATTATGTTTACATAAAAATTATACTTATGTTAAAAATCTCTTTTGAATACAGGGAGCCTTAGGTAGTTTATTTTGCCTGATGCAAGGTCTATGAAGAGTAGTAGAGGAAAAGGGTTTGGGAAAATAGGTTGGGACCAGACTGCAGAAGACCTTATAAGCCAGACTAAGGATTTTGACTTTGTTGTATAAAAAATCGAAGACTGAGGGGAGAAGGGAACTTATAAGAGTAAGAATGACACACTCAGAGCTCTATGTTACAGGAAAGTTTATCTGGCAAGGTGTTGAATGAGTTGTAGGGAAGAGGCCAGTTAGGAGACAGTGCTTGTGAATGCTTGCAAATCAACTGGTGCAATGGCTGGCACCGGGCACGTAGTATTTCTTATTAGGTGAGTGATGTTGACTTCCTGTGCTGGAACAGAGATAGATGTCAAGGCGGTGTAGAAGTTCAAGTGTTGGGTACTATCTCACAAAGCATGCAGTCAGAGAGAGTGGAGAGTCCTGTCCTAGTCTTCAGCAACTGCTCAAGAATTGTTCAAGCACTCATGCTGCTGGGATGCACCATCCCCTAGTAGTGTGGTATGGTAACATTGCCAGACATGGCCTGGGTTGAGATTACAGATTATCATCAAACAGTATGCTCTGGTCTGGTGTATCTGAGTTCTGGTGGTTGCAAGACAGCACACAGAATCAGAATTTTTAGAGCCAGAAAAAACTTTGGAGATTATCTAGTCCAACCTTCTTTGTTTTCCTGATAAGGAAACTGAGGCCCAGATTGTTAAGTGACTTTTCCCACATTACATGATCAGTGATAAAGCCAATACCAAAAATCAGATCTCGTAACTTTTTTATTTTTGCTGAGGAATATTTGCCCTGAGTTAACATCTCTTGCCAATCTCCCCCCCTTTTTTTTTGGCTTGAGGAAGATTAGCCCTGAGCTAACATCCATTCCCTTCTTCCTTTATTTTGTATGTGGATCGCTGCCATAGCATGGTTGACAGGTGGTATAGGTCTGTGCCCAGGATCTGAACCCATGAATCTGTGCTGCCGAAGCAGAGCGTGCTGAACTTAACCACTATGCCACGGGGCTGGCCTTGATCTCATAACTTTTGCTATTACAATATATTAAATATATGCATCCTTTCTTCTTTATGCTTTGCTTTGTAAACCAGAAGCAGTTTAATGAAAACAACATGGATTGTTGGAGTCTAGCAGATATGGGTTTGTATCTCAGTTTTCCTGCTTGCTGGAATGTGATCCTAGAGATGTTGTGTCTCTTCTTAGAGCCTCAGTTTCCTCATCTGGGTAATGGAGACAGAATATCTCACTTACAGGATTGTTATGAGGATTAGAAGTAATATGTAAAAAGTGCATTGCAAAGAGTAAATGTTCAACAAATAGTAGCTAGTAGTTGCCAAAAAAAAAAAAAAATCCACCATGGAGATGGCATTGTAAATAAGTGATTATAATACAAATAAGAAATGGTATACACACACATTACAGATTTTATGGGAACACAATGAGGAAGGAACTCATTTTGACTGAGACAAACTCTAAACAAAATTTAGAGACCACTTTACATTGGGTCTTGAAGAATGAGTAGGAGTTCACTGGGTAGAGAAGGGGCTGTGGATTTTCAGGCATGAAAAAGCACAGAAGTGTGAAACAATGCTACATGTTCTGGGAAGGGGAAAAGCTACTGCATCGTTGTGTGGGAGACATGAAGGCCATTGGACTGGAAAGGGGAGGGAGGGGGGCCGTAGAGGGTCTTCATGTCCTGGTAGAGAATTTAGAATTTGGACTTTATTCTCTGGGTGATGGGAAAACAGTGTGCGTGTGTGTCTGTATGTGTTTAAAACAGCTTTATTGAGGTGTAATCTATATACCACAAAATTCACCAATTTTAGTTGTATCATTCACTGATTTTTAGTAAATGTACAGAGTTTTACAACCATCAACACTACCAAGTTTTAGAACATTTCCATTACCATGAAAAACCCTTTGTGCCCATTTTCAGTTAATCTCTCTTCTCACCCCCAGCCCCAGGCAAATACTAATCTGCTCTCTCCATGTATAGATTTGAGTTTTCTGGACATTTCAGGACATTTCTGGACTACATACAATATGTAGTATTTTGCATCTGATTCTTTCTCTTAGCAGAATATTTTTGAGGATCATCCATGTTGTAACAGCTGTTAATAGTTGTTTTGTTGCTGAATAGTAGTGCATTAATGGATATGCCCTATTTTGTTTATCCATTCAACAGTCGATGGACATTGGATGGTTTACACCTTTTGACTATTATGAGTAATGTTGCTATGAACATTTGTATACAAGTCTTTGTGTGAACTTTGTGTTTTCATTTCTCTTGGGCAGATACCTAGGAGTGGAATTGTTAGGTTGTATGGTAAATTTATGTTTAACTTTTTAGGACACTGCCAAACTGTCTTCCAAAGTGATAGTACCATTTTATTTTGTGGATTTTGAAGCAGAAGAAAGATTTAGTTTTCCATTTCTGCTAAACTGAGAAACAAACTCAGAAGTTGACTGAGAACCCAATTTCACCTTGCAAGAATTTATAACAGAAGGTACTTGAGTTTATAAAATGTTTCATCGGACCAAAATTTCAAAAAGAACTCTTAAAACTGCAACCACCTGGCTAAGTTATCACAGTTATTACTAGATGTGTATTTCTTCTTGTGGACCAAATCAAGACAGAGGAATGTGCATGAGCATCTATTTTTCATCTGTACCAAGTCATTTTCCTATCCTTCAGCTAACGAGCTTCCTTTGCTTGATTTGGGGTGAACTTGGCCTAGGAGAGTTTTATAGTGTGGTAACTACTTTACTCAGGGAATTGCTTCATGATTTACCCCTTTCAGTGAGAATCCAGAAATAGCCCTCTATTGAAAGAAGTATCAAATTAGTAATTGATTCAGAAACTATTGGGGGGAATATTATTGCTAGGGGTGATTTGTTCAAATAAGGCTTTTC